CCGGGAGCGCGCGCGCTGCGGCCCTGCCCCGGCAGCCCCACGGAGCCGCGGCAGGGCCGGGCAGGGCGCAGGACACTTTGGACACACGCTGAGCACGGCGAGCTGCGGCGCTCCGAGCGGCCTAGGCCCATAGGGGAGTTTAGCCTAAACTAAAATAAACGATGCCTCTGAATGCGTTTGCATTTTCACATACGTGACGGGTGCTTTCCCTCAGGACAGCTCTTCGTGCCTGCAGGCCCTTTAACGCTTTCTGCCCTCCTTGCAGGCTGCCGCGCTGAAGCTGTCAGCACGATGGGTTTTCTTCCCCCTTTATGTCTCAGCACCTCTACTAGCACTTTAGCTAAATACTTAGCGTGTTCACTGCAGGCTGCTTGCATACATTCATTTCTGTACTGCCTCTGTAGCAACCTGTGAGGGAGAGGTGTGTAATTTGGTTCAAAATGACGCAGTAGGAACTATTACCAATCACTTGTATTTTTTGCAGTATACTGGAAAACATACAGACTGGTGGATAGGCTGGCTCACTGCCCCTTGCTCAGAAGTTGTTCCCCAATTTTCTTTCTGTGATAGAAACAAAAACATTACAAATCACAGTAGCATAGCAGGGCCAACCGTCCTAACTGAAAATACCTGCTATCCAGTGTGCGGTACCAACCTCACATAAAAACAGGAGCATAATCTTCAAGAGAAGCTGCTTTACACAGTACTGCTGGAGGGCAGACACACTTCACGGTCCATCTGGCTGCTCCCGAGTTCTTTAATATTTTCAAACATACCTTTTCTTATGAAGCACATCACAATCATGCAAGATTGCACATTTTAGTGTGATTACTATTAATAAACCAGCCTCAATTCACAGCAGCAGCCTATAATATTAGCATCAATATCCTGATATTAGTTAAAGTCTCATTTGCCAGGTCACCTCTATGTGGTTTGAATCTATTTAATGCTGGCTGTGGTTGGAAAGCACTGTACAACTGTATCATCTTTCAGGCCAAAAGAGATGAGCTTATCCTAAGCTTTAGCACAAGAAAAATCAAAATGCACTATTTAAGGTCTTACTATACTATAGTGCTTGTTCTTCAAGAAATATCGACAGTGGCAACACACCAAGGTATTAATGCATTTTAAAAACGTAATTATCCACTATTACACGAATGTTGAGTTGACCACCTCATGCAAAACCTGTGCCTATTAGCTTAACACATCATCAGCTGAATACATGAAGAAGCGCAGGACAGGATTAAAAGAGCACTTTTGGCATTATGTCACCCAGAAAGACAGCTCTGTAGTAAATAAAGGACTACTATCCTTTGCTGGACACAGGCCAGAGAAAGAATGCAATTAAGGCTTATCTCCTATGCAAAACATCTTAAACTTTAATAACTGTTATTCCACCTTTAAACACTTACACATAGTTAGCATGAATACATCTTAATGAAGATGACAAGCTTGTAAATAAAACTAGTGTTTTCAGTCCCTGAAAAGGAGGCTTGAGAAATCACAGTACATTTGTAGAATAAACGGTATTTGCAACTTCAGTTTATTCAACAGGAAGAACATTTTTGTAAAGATGGTGGCATAACTATAGCAGTTTAAATTAAACATACTGTCATCTTGATCTGTCTACAGTAGACATAGAAAATATGAACTTTTTAATAACTGCTAAAGTATCTCCATTATTCACTTAGCAACTACAGACAGTTTGCTAAGGCTGTGTTACTACCCCACCTCACCTATGGCAGCGGTACATTAAAACATGAATTGAACATTTACTAGTAATTAGCAGTAAGTTGATGTAACAGGTAAGGAAAACAGCAGCATCACCGCACTGTTAAAGAACTGGCATTTGCTTATTAGAGTAGAAGAAGAACCCAGATACTTACTTATAATCTGTTCTACATTTGGCAATGGTATAAATTAGGAAACTTCTATTTGGAAAAAAACTTGCACCAAAGAGCTACTGCCTCTAAACTTCAAGATGACTATCTTAGTAGTCTTATTAGTCATTTTAGGATATATGTACAATTTCTACAGTTATGGGAAAAAAGTTAACTGTTATCTCCAATATGTGTGACTATGTTTTCTACTCTAAGCAGAGGACATACAGAGTTATCTGAAAAACAGAACGGCCATGGTAGACAAGACTCAGGCAAAGGAAAACCTTGCTAATTCCAGTAGCAAACTGCAGTTTGGGAGGCAAAGGATAGAGGCAATTTAAATAAGGTTTCAGAGCACAAGGTATAATTGACAATTCCCAAGCTGATCCCTGGTTCAATATTCATGTTCCACAACTTTTGCAAACCCTTTTTCCCCTGTTAAGAATTGACAGATCTACAGTCTCAGGTGCCAGTTTCACCCACTGCCACTCAAGAAATTCCAGAGGTGTCTGCTGTTTCCTTCCATGGGAGTCACCAGAAAGATCTTTTTTCTTCGGCCCTTTCCCAGGTGCGTTTCAGCAGGTACACTGCAGCATGAAGTCCCCCCACGTTCACCCACACGGTTTGACCTTTACGCCAGATGTGCCCCATTCTTGACAAAGCCTGAAGTGACAGAAACAACCACAGAAAAACAGACGTTGGCGGTGACTTCAAGATAAGTTAAAAAGATAAATTTGCTTTAGACATTTATCACCATTTTTTTGTTTATCTCAAGTCACCTCTCAAGGCAAAGTCAAAGGACTCTTTGGGTCTAAATCTGTGTTACAGTAAGATGATACTACTAGTTATTTCTTTAAAAATGTATCATCTTCTGTAATAAAATCAGCTGCAATTTCTTCATAAATATATGTTTATGTGTAAAAATAGGTTTGATTTACTTGCAAAGCTTTGTCTCAGTAACATACCTTGGCAAAGCATTTCTTGTCTTGTGTAAGCAGCACCGCTCTGCCTGTCCCGGGCCTGCAGATCCGACCCATCTCCGTAAGGCACGCTGGATAGAGATCCCAGTTCTTCTTCTTAGAACCTATCCTATAAAATTAAGACCTCTTTGTCATCGTTGAAAAGCAGTTATCTGCAGTTGGCCTTGAGGACACGACCACTTCTACTATTCATTTCAACCTGCGTTTGTAATACAGGCTACTACACCAGTGCTTCTTAATTAGGACCAACTGACTGACTCGAAAGAACCCTGGACATGCAAGCACTTAAGAGCAGTGGCAGTTAAGCACAGCAGCTTAAAAAGGGGAATCTCTCACCTCTTTCCAAATGGCATGTCTGTCACTATTATATCCACAGAACCAGTCCGCAAGGGGAGATTGCAAATATCCCACTGAATGATATCCAAGGGAATGCCCGAGGAGGTACTGCAAGTGCAAACACATTCACCTCACACATGGTGTACTCGGGATCCTTTTTTTTTTTTTTTTTTAAATTCAAAGGTCTATAACATCAGCAAAAGAATATATAGGAAAATGTGAACAAAATATTCAGGTAAATGCATGCAAAACGAATTTCTTTACATAAAACACTCTAAAAAAAGTCACTTGCATTCTTCTCACCCTTCCTTATTCTCATTTTTCTTAAGTAAAGAGGACATATTGTTTGCCGCTCTCTTTACAGCTTGTGGGTTGTTATCTCCAGCAATATGGTAGCAACTAGGCCATTCTGTAGCTCCCTAGGGAAAAAGAAGATAATAAGTATCATTGACATTAACAGTGCCTAATTAATAAAAAGGAAAAAAAGAGAAAAAATAGTCTAAGAGTACAGTGTAAGAGTAGACTTCAACCAGTGAAAAATTATCCAACAGATACTTGTTACAGGTACCGTGTGTCTTAAAAACTCAAAATACTTTTGAATTTAGTTTCTTCCTGCTTGGCTTGGGGAAGGAAAATTAAGTAATTTAGCAAAATAAATAATTTTTTAAAAGTATTTGTAGCTGTTTAAAAGTCAGTGAGGTACCTTTGGCACTGACCATACATTTTTTACCAAGAAAACATATATATTATTCATTGCTGATACCATCATAAGTTTTATTAAATTAAAAAAAATCACCTCTATTGGTATTGCCCCTGTTCCACACATTGGATCGATTATGATATCTGTTGGCTGTGGATCACAGAGCCTGAGAAACACAAAGACCATTACATGAAAAAGTCATAAGGAAAGCATAAAGGACAACATAAGAAGTCTATACTCTTCTAACAAAACAACATCTTTGTAATTATTATTTCCATTTGTTAATCAGCATTTTCTATCTGTAATACTTTCAAAAAATGTCATAATGTATTTTGAAAAGCGAATAGATCAAAGAATAGCTCAAAGCTAACATTTATTTTTTCTACGTAGCAGAACATCTACTGATTATACTTACTGAAAATAATATACAATTATGCAACTACACTGACCTAAGCATGCCATAAGCAAGGGTTGATCGAAGAGTTGTTGGTCCAAAATGTGTAATGTTTCTTCTGTGAAGACTCTCTTCAGTTAATGCAATGCCCACTACTACTTCGTTATTGTGAATATTCAGGAGAACCTGAAGAAAAACTCGAACTAAATTTCAGCAGCGACAAGAGTTTCCCTTACTACATTTGGTCAATGCTTGCATGGAACACAGGTGGCAATTCAGAAACAGCAAATAGGTTTAAAAAGTGCAGAGTATTCTTGGGAGAATACCAATGCAGTTTGTAATGAGGGCAAAAGACAAAAGCAAGGACAGAACAGCTTTCCTCATCCACACAGGCTCCTTTACACAAGATTTCAGAAGGCAGAAGATGACACTTGGTACTGGAGCATTTCCTATAGCTAATGGGGAAGGGAAAGCTCTTGCACAGCAGCTTGACCGTGCCCTGCCGTTACTGAGTCAACCTGATGGGAGAGGGACCGCGCTCGAGGAAGAGAAGTGCCCACCTCGGGGCACAAAAAGAATTATTACAAACAGCTAAGGCATTAGCAAGAGCGATGCGAGGAAACGCGGCAGTGCACCAGCATGACCCAGTCATGCTTGCCACGATTTCAGCCTTAGCAATTTTCAGTTTCAGGTCCTGACATACTTGTGAAGCACCTCAGGGGACTCTAGAGGCCAGGATTAGGACAGACTGGTTTTCAGTGCCACATGCAGCTGTTTCCAAGGCACTACCCTGTACCTCTACATCGAAGTTGGTCATGTCGGCCTTCCACTGGAAGTGCTCCTGCACCGCTCCGCCGAAGTCCCTCGCAGCGTCGTTGGACGTAAAGCTGTGCTTGTCCCCGGCTCTGTTGCACGTAACACGGAACTTCAACACGCTGCCGTCCCCTTCGCCCTTCCTTCCGTCCCCAGCCTTGGCTTCGGCCCCGGCGCCGCCGTGCGACTCGCCTGGCGCGTCCCCCTGCTCGTTATCCTCGTCGTCATCGTCACCCTGCCGCGGCACCTCTCCTTGCGCCGCCTCCGCGTCCTCGCCAGCGGGGTCGGTACCCGCAGTGTTTTGGGTGCAGCCCTGCGCCTGCTCACTGCCATCTTTCTGATCGGTTCTTTCCTCTTCTCCATCTTCGTTCAGCTTTTCTTTGCTCGCAGCATCCTGCAGGTTTTGCTTCTTGCGCTTCGTCTTTTTCTTCTTCAAGCTGTTGTTCAGCTCCCATACTTTCAAAGGCTCAGTCCAAGGCAGCTTTTTAACCAGATCTTCCAAATCCTTTAGAGCTTCTTCCTTTAAGAGACACAAAACAGTACCTTTTTGGGTTTTCTGGGGGAAGTCATTTGAGTTAACTTGCTAAACATGTATTTAAGGAACACTACTATTTTTTTTTTGCTATTTTTGCCACAACTAACTAAGCTACATTATAATAATTCTCACAAAATGCCCCAGTATTTCTTCATTTTTTTTTGTGTCAAATAAAGAGCTAGTGCTAAACCAAGAGCTCGAGGTGATACTGACTGTCCTGCACCTCTGCATGTCCTACAGACACTGTGTTTGCGGCCCCCCAGGCACTGGGGATACTGCAGAGCTGCACAGCGTCGCCCAGCGGGGCTGCACGTGGAGGAGGCTGCGCTGCGCACGTGGATGAAGCGGGAACCTGCTCACCAAAAACCCTGCACGGAGCCTTGGACGGGGGAGAAACCCCCTGCCCCGCACACAGAGCGAGGGCTGCCTGGGGAGCTCCGCGCGCCGCTCACCTTGGTGTCCTTGAACTGATAGTCCTTGAACTCCTGCACCACCACGAAGAGGTTGTCCACGGAGCGGAGCCGATGCACCTGGGGCAGACGGGACAGGGCGGGAGGTGGCTGGTCACACACACAGAGATGTATGCAGGGCACACACACGTGCGTATGGCACAAAAACGTGTACGGCGCACACACATGTATGCACAGCACACACACACGGCACATGTACACATGGCACACACACGCACAGCGCACACACGTAAACATGCACAGCACACACATGCACACACATATATGCACGGCACACACATGCACGCGCACAGCGTGCGCACGCATGGCACACACATGGACACACGGCACATACGCGCACAGCACACACATAAACATGCACGGCACACACACGGACACACGGCACACACACGTGCACACACACACGTGCACACACGTGCACACACACGTGCACACACACACGTGCACACACATGTACACACACACGTGCACACAGGTGCACACACACGGCGCGCACCCACGCGCCCACGCACGCGGCCCCGCGCGCCCCACCTGAGCCAG